CTGCGGCAGACGGTGTCCGCGAGCGCGGCGCTGCCGGCGCCCAAGCCGTTTGCCGGCGACGGGGGTGGCAGCATCGCCAGCAGCTGGGGCAGCAGCAGCGATGGCGCAGGCAGGAGCCAGACACCTTTAAACGTGCCCTCTGCACCCTTGAGCCCTGCGGCAAGCTCGGTGAGTGACGGCGCCGGCGATCGCACCTTTTGTGGCTGCGAGGACGGCGCCGCAGAGGGGCAGCAGAGGCAGCAGCAGCAGCAGCAGCAGCAGCAGCAGCAGCAGCAGCAGCAGCAGCGGCAGCAGCAACAGCAGCAGGGGTACCTAAGCAACTGGCAGGTGAAGGGGCAGCACGCCGCAGGGCTGGGGCGCCGGCAAAGCCCTGGCCTGGACGCCAGCACAGCTGGCTACGACGACAGCAGCTCTGTGCCAGATGCATTGAGCCGTGTCAGTATCGCAGACACTGTCATAGCAGCGGCCCCCTGCGGTCAACCACGGGCATTGGCGACTGCGCCCATGACCCCGCCGTGCGGCCCTCCGCCCGGCCGGCCGGGCGCCGCGGCGGTTGTGCGGCGCGCCGCGGCATCGGCGCCGGGGGGCTTTGAGGGCGGAGACGGCTGCGCCGCCGCAGAAGTGGGGGAGGCGCTTGCGCGCGAGCTGCGGCAGCTGCTGCAGGCGGGCAGCGTCGACGCTGGGGCGCGCGTGCGGGGCCAGGGGCCGCAGAGGTGCTCATTAAGCAGCCTTCTGGTCCCGGTGGTCGCGTCTTGAGGGCGTTGTCGCTCACGCTTCGCTGTGGCCATGGGTTGTTGTCGCGCACCAGCGCTTGCCTGTTGATCCATCAATGTATCCCTGGGGTTTTTGAGAGACAGAGAAACCAGGGTATGCTGACCAGAGCCCTGGCCAGCGAGCGGCTTATTGATGGTGCTCACTAGTATCTCGGAGATGTGTGACTGTGCTAATAAAGTTTGAGGACTTTTTGGGCTGGCCGCTCTGTCCTGCCAGGGCAAAGTGCCAGCCAGTTGGCTGCAAGAGTTTTGGGCGCCTTGTGCCTTTCAGGTTTTGGAGTTTGGCGACTGCCACTCAAGCGCACACGCGCGCACACACGCGCATGCTCGCACAGCAGCTGCGCATCGTCGGCGGTCTGGACAAGACCGTTTGGCTGCTGAAACCTGTTGCCCTGCAAACCTGTGGTATGAAATAACATCAACATGTACAAACACGGATGCATGCATGCAATCACTTGGTAAAACTATGCAAACGTGTAGTGCTTGCAGTGCATCTGCTTCTTGCACAGGCGTGTCTGGTGCCTTCAACGCCACAGTTGTGACATGTGTTGGCTCGCTGCCGCATCTGGACGCAATCAGCAAGCGGCAGTTGATCAGAAGGGGGGGGGGGCGGCAGCTGAGAGCTGGGTGCCTGCACGGCAGGTCAATCACTCTAGCTACAACACAATGATGCATTGGCGGCATGCTGAGAACTTTTTTCTGCAGCAGCTCCAGGCGGTGCAAAGCCAACCCCGCAGGAGTTTGCGGCGAAGCAGGCCGCCGACAGGCAGCGGCTGGCCATTATGCACCAGCAGCTCAACCTACAGGGCGGCATGTGCTAGGGGCTGCAGCTGAGGAAAGGGCAGCTGATAGCAAGGCGCGGCGCCGTGGCCCTGGCGAAGCAGTGCTTGTGCCGGCAGCCAGGTCTTTGTAAAGCTCGCGCTCAGGCGTGTTTGGCGCGGCCCCGCGGATGCGGACACTGTTTGCTGCTGGAGGCTTGTAGCCGAGGCAGCAATGCCGGGGCCCTCGCACGTCACTTGAGCCTGCGCACTCTTCATGCTGGCCTTCTTCGACCCCTACTGCCCCGGCCGGTATGATGACGGCCTGTATCATGTTGCCCGCTCTGCAAACTGCTGTCTGCTGTCGCCCTTACAGCTGAGGACGCTCTCTTCATTGCATTCAAGCCTGCGTTAGGGCTCGGTGTAACACACGTATCAGCGAGACCATGCTCAAATTGTCCTCACCGAACTGCAGCGCTTCGCCGAAAGCGGCGAGCAATCGGCATGCCCTGTGTATTCAAGTACAAGCTGCGCCCTGAGCAGCCCTAGCCGCATGCGGCAAAGAAAGCGGCCTCGATTTCGGGGCTGCGCCGCTGGAAGGGGCTCAGCCGCATGTGGTACCTGTTGACCACTGGCCCCTCCTTGAAGAGGTCGACTCCAAAAAAGCGGTTGTGAGCGGCGCACTTGTAGTTTTTGAACGCGTGCACCTTACTCAGGGACCCGTTGTCGGTCCACACCCTGTGCACTGCGTCATGAGTAAGCTTGTACAGGGTGGTGGCGATGATCGGCCCGTTGTCCACCTGCCTGACCACCTGGGAGATGAGAAAGCAGGCGGCAAGGCCCAACGAGGGCGTCGGCAGCAGTATGAGCGCCACAAGACCCCGAGACGTCGTCCACGCATCAGGGAGGGACGGGGGAGGCAACCCAAATTGGCCGCATGCACGGGGCACGCATGACACAAATATATGCAGTGGTGACAATCCTGGTCTTAAATGCACCTCGGACATTACTGTGCCAGGCAGAGTTGCACGAACCTGAAAAAACAGGTTGGGATGGTGGCCCCGGCCGTTGAGGAAGTTGGTGAAAAACGCCTCGGCCTGCAGTTGACGCGGCCTATAGGGCTGCAAGCCGCCGCAGCAGAACGGCGTGGAGAGGTCGTCCACGTTGCCGCCCGCATCGATTTGAGCGTTTGCTGGGGGTGGAGGCAGGCCGGCCCTGTAGCAGACGTTCAGATCTCCCAGGCGCGTCTCGTCGTAGCTGCTCAATTCGTCTGCAATTGTCGGTCAAGGGTTAAGGGCCCGGGGTTGGGCAACAGGGGCGCAACCAAGAAACTCAAAGCAACCAGGTGTGGCTGCGTCAAATTTTGCACATGCTGCCCCAAGATTTGGAGTAACTGGGCTAACTCTAGACCTTTGTGTTTTGCTGCATGCGCATGATCAGTCACAGCAGCCTCAAGGCCGTTCATCGCTCAAAGCTTTCACAAGCTTCCCGTCGGTGCTGCAAGCAGCGGGCAGCGCCCAACACGTCAGGCACCAATCGCACCCGCAGGGTAGTGGGTGAGCAGGCACTCGTTGTCGAGATCTCCAAACAAGCTGGCATACTCGCCGGTGAAGTGCGCTGGATTGTGACGGCCACGATGCCAGTCGTGCTGAGGTTGTGGGCCTCGCAAAACTGGCGCAGGCGCGCCACCACGCTCGGCTCATCGGCGGACGCCATGTTTATCCTGCACAGGCAGCACAGTCTCACGCAGTCAAGAGCCCTCACCTGTTGAGGAGGCGCTTGGCGCAGTGAGTTAGCAACATAAACGGGCAGGATTAAGAGCGGCACAGCTCGGAGGCAGTTGTATGGTCGGCCCTGACCTTCATCCTCAACTGCTGTCAACTGTCAAGTTTCAACAGGCAGCCTGCGCCAACCTCCATCAACTGTCAATGCAACAAGATGGCCCTGGCCAAGGGGGACCCTTCGCCAGCAACATTTTCCGCATTCGAACTTCATAAAATGCATCAAGTTCACAAGCCTGACGCTGCCCAGTCCAGGGCAGAGCAAGGGAGCACGAACGCTTCCGAAGGCACTTTGAAGCAGCAGCAACCAGACGGCAGCAGGCTATGCGCATTTGGGTCGCAGTGTGCGCTCGCGCGGCATGCTCATACTGTACAGTAGTGTTGAGCAAGGGCACGAATGGCAGTTGGTGAGTGTTGATGATGACCACTTCTGCTTCAGCTGTGCTACAAGGGTACTAGCACGCACGCAGGCGAGGCACAGGGGAGCTGTAAGAGAGCGGCGCAATACGGGGTCCAGGCGCTCACCGCTCCCAAGGGGCCCGACACCATCCCTCCACATACACACTCAAGGAAGGTGACACACTGGGAATTGCACACTGAACTATCGATACAAAGAAATGGAAGATGCTGGGAGGTGTGGTGCCCAGAGTCCCCGTGCGCCCAGAGTCCCCATGAGCCAACGCGCTTGCAGCAGGGGCGCAAGGCTGGCAATGGAAGTGAGGGGGGCACTTGAGCGCGCCCAAAGGCAAGTTGAAAGTGGCCCCTCACAGCGCCATCTCCGCCTGTAGCGCCTCCAGCTCCTCCTCTTCCCGCGTCTTTGGGCTTGGCCTTGACCGCGCCGGTGGGCGCGTTGGGCAGGGCCGCGCCGGCGGCCGGGGTCTTGGTGCGTGGTAGGCACGGCTGCAGGTTCCAATAGCTGGCCGAAGCTGTTGACCACGCCCCTGTCTGTCGACCCGCGGCGGCGGCGCCAGCAGCTGCTGCAGCATCAGCAGCAACAGCAGCAACAACAGCAGCACAGCGGGGTGCACCGCCAGCGCTCCTGCCTCAGTAGCAGCAACATCTGGCGGCCCTGTCGTCGCAGCTGCAGCATGCTCTTGACCCCGCAGACCCAAACAACCAGTGGTCGGGGGCCGGCAGGCGGGGCAGCCGCCGCTGCCGCCGGGCCGCCAGCTGTCCCCTCGGCTTGGGGCCTAGTCGTCTCCAAAAGCGGGCGACCACGGGAAGTGGTAACATCCTAAATTCTAAATCCTAATCCTAATCCTAATCCTAATCCTAATCCTAATCCTAATCCTAATCCTAATCCTAACCCTAATCCTAATCCTAATCCTAATCCTAATCCTAATCCTAATCCTAATCCTAATCCTAATCCTAACCGTAACCCTATTCCAGCAGAGGCGCAGGCTGCGCCCCATCAGCCGCCCCC